GGTTCTATTATTGGTCGTTTCATGCTTTTTCTTGTAATAAAGCTTATTTTGAGCAAAATTAATTCCACTTTTAAAAACGCTGGAAACTTCTAGAAGAAAATTGCCTTTTTGTATCGGAAACAGACGCGCGACAATGCAACAGTTGAATGTTTAAACAATATGGTGATTGAAACAGCAAGGTTTTAGCGCTTTGCTATTTTGCGATGAGTGAACACCAATGGGTTAAATTTGGGTTAAGTAAATAAAACAAGATAATATTAATTAGCAAAACCGAAAACCTTGACATTAACGCTCTCATACTGTTCCAAATTTTAGCAGATATGTTTCAGAATTTCCATCCTCATTGTTTGTCGAGATAAACGAGTGGGTTTATTATACCATGGAGCATATCTCCAGATGACATTCCAAGACTTAGGCAAACAATTTTCCGCTAGCAAGAGTCGTTTGCCGTTGATTAAATAGTCAGCTTTTAAACTCGAAATTGTCTAATTAGTCAGTTTGCCTGCCTGCCATTACCTGAATCAGTGCTAATTGAATATCTACTTTTTCAGCGAACGGCGCTCGCTTTGCAGATTGTGATTCAATGGAATCACATTAATAGGGCGATCTTTTAATTGCATGTAACTGCAGTGGCACTAGCTGTTAATATGACCAAATAAGAAACATTATTGCTTTTGCTAAGCATTCAAGAAATGGTAATTAGAATCATTGTTTCAATTAAACAGGCTTAAGTAGTCGTAACTGTAGAAAAGACCATGCTGGGAGTCTATTGCATTTATTTAATTTTTATTATAACATATTTAAACCCAATAATTTAATGAAAAAGGCGACAGGAACTTATTTTGGCTGTTGTTTTAAACGCGCACTATATATTAACAGTTATATCTCATCCCTGTAAACGCACAGTATATACTTAATTAAAAATGTATATTTATTTCCATGGAATTAAAGCGATTCCAATTATAGTTCCTTCTGATTCTTCAAGCTGACGATGTAATTGTTTCAATAAATCAGCTTTAAAATAGTAGTTAAAGTAAGTCGTTTAGGTTTATCTTCTTAAATAATTTTCAAATTGCACAAGACTTTCACTTTCAATAAGGTCGAGCATGGCACCTACTTAAAAGGCACTGAAAGTACTAAATAAAATACTTTGCAAGTTCAGAAGTGGAGTAAAGAAAACCATGTTTCTTTTCTTCCGAAAAAAACGAAAGTTGAATATTAAACAATTGAGTTCAAGATCAGGCCATCGATTCAAACATGGTTGGCTCTTGTTACACAAAAAATTACCGATATTTTTATAGATTTTTTTATTTTGCGCGAGTGGGGAAAATTGGACCCTCGGTTCAAACAATCTCTAGGATTCTTTGAGCTACAGCTCTCGTTTTCTTACCGCTGGATAGAAAATTCTAAAATCCATTGACAATTTAATTCAAATTTTCGTTTTAAAAGTAATATTTTTAAATAATAGTTTAGTTTCAATGTTGTTTGAGGGTAAACTCATGATTCCTACGCAAGCCTTTTATATTAAAATTTAAGAATCAGATACATTTTTTACATTGAATAACAACGTCGAGTATGATTTATTACCTTTTTTCAACTAGCGCAAAATACATAATGTATTAGAGACGGATAGAGTGAATAGAGACCCTT